TAACCGCACTTCAGAAACAATTTTTCCTGCAATAAGTTCCTCATAAAATTGTCCTACTGTAATATCTTTCGGTACAGAAACACCAATCTAGTCTACTTTTATACTTTCTGCCTTAATACGTACAGATACAACAAGCATTTAGACTTTAATCAAAAATTAATAAAGCTCAATACTTTTGCTAGAATATGTAACTATAATTTCATATACCAGTATGATCATGTTTCTTGTATAACATGAAATGTGGTAGGGATGGTTTCCTTTAACTTTTTTGATGTCGCTTATCCTGTTTTTATCTAAACAAATTACTTTGCAGGTTATTTTTTAAATATATAGAATTGTTTACAAACCTGTATTTATGATAACACCGCCACCACGCTTTTTTAAAAATTGAATTCCCAATTGTGTACCCTTGATTACAGCATTTAAATTAATATCGATAGTCTTCATCCATCTATCTGTTATCATAAATATATGAGTCAAGATTCATATATGAATGGTCATTCGAGAAAAACATATAGGTGATTATTAATTTACTTAACCAGTTTGGTCATAAAATTCATCCGCTTGGATAATCCCAGAATTATTGCATACAATCTTTTAGGAAAACTAACTGTTAACCTATTAGCCATCAAATAAATAATTAGGCAATTAAAAAAAGTACTTACATCAACACCACCAAATTTATTCTGTGCAGTATCAAACAATCGGCGTAGATGTTCAACGTTTGTTACATCGCAAAAGACAAAGACTGTATTGCCTTTATTGCTAGATAGTGTAATACGAAAATGATTTATTATTTGGATGTATTAAAACAAAAGATTCCAAATCTAAATACATTTTATTCAACTCAGTTACGAGCTCTTGGCCTGATTTTTCGTCAATATCACCAATAATTACTTTTGCACTATATTATTAAATAGTTTAAAAACAAAACCAAATAAAACGACAAATGGATCATAATTTATTGTTCATTCGACAAACCCTTCGCGAATGAGTCGCCGAACTAAAGCAGCACCAATACCATTCGAACCGCCTGTTACAATTATGATTTTATCTTTAATTTGCATTTTTTTTTTTTTGAAGGGGAATATAGTAAATTTGAGTAGTATGAGAAAACAATCCGAATATATAGTGAAGAGATATCTAATCGTAAAATTGGAAATTCATTATTAATCCTGTAATCATATGGGCGGATTTGACGCATCGAGTATATTATAAAAGTAATAATTACATATGGGGACGCTCATAGCAAAAGCAGGAAATGGGACTATATAAGGCCACACAAAGTTGATTTTTCGTTTTGCATTACATGGATTTCAAAATTCCGGTCGGACGGTCGGATTTTTTTTTTTTTTTTTTAATTTCGCTGTGGGAGAGTGGAGTAAGGGTCGCAAATAGAATATACGCAATGCGGTTAGATACTGAATGTGTAGACATGTTTGCTTCGTTATATATACTGATATACTTAGTTGTACTCGGTTGAATCTTGCTTGGAGGTCAACAATTATTTCATAATTACCGAATCCGGACGCTGATATAAAGTCAACCTAAACTTTAATTGCACTTTCCTTGTGATGCTAATCTTTGCCACATTGAATTATCATTGTTCATATACAGTATATAGAATGATAAGTACGTAATTACGTACATTAAATTTCCCAAAATAGCATTTAATTTAATTAGCATTTATCGATCCGGGTTACTGAAATCTAGTTTCCTCAATCTTCTAACTAGTTATTCACATGAGTAAGCAGTTTTTTCTTGCTTACTTACCTTTTTAATTTCTTTGTTAACTCGAATTATTTTTTGTTGCACCCTAAATTGTGCAAGTATAAATCACAACCTAC